TGATCCGTGCGCCCTAAAACGTGACTGGAAATTTGTATCCACACATACATACACACACACAGACATCCATTTTTTCTGAGGTATGCCAAAACGTTCAGAAACCTTCAAAACGTCGAGAAATGTAAAAAATTTCAATTTCGATTTTCGGCCCATTACAATAACTTACGCTACGGGAAGTTAAAAACTGGTTCAATAGATTGACGATTTGTTTTATTTTATTTTCTAGTAACATCTGTTTAAATATTTTGCTCACACATTCTCCTTGAAATGTGCTACTTTATTCATCAGTGTGCATACAATTTTATAATATATGTACGCTAATTAAGGTAGGTCAGTAAGTAGTCGGTTTGAATATCGGCAAGAGTGCGAGTAAACAAATGTCTAGTAAACATCAAATATCAAATTAATTATCGAAATCTTAATCTATATCACTTACAGGCTCAAATATGCTCCTCGTAAAGAAGGCATAGCTCTTCTCCTTTGGATAGGAGGGGACAGTGATAGCGAAAGGGACTGGTTAAGGGCGATTTGTTGACTCCTAGAATATATCCTAGGTGTCTTCTCCTTTGACTGTTCAAAGCAGTTATCGTTTGCGGCAATTTGCGATGATTTATTTGTAAATTCCACTGGTAACACGGGCGCCAGTTTGCAGTGTCTCCGCACAGGTAGAGAATCGATCCGTAAAAATCTACCAAGCACATAATTTGATGTTATGATGAAAGTATGTCTGAGGAAATTACTGGACATCTAAATTTTAGACTCATATCAAGGAATACAAAAACTTTTGGCGATGTATAAACAAGATGATTCATGTTACATGAATAATTTAAATAATTGATTTATAGAGACATTGTTTGGGATCACTTTTCACTTGGACAATTTTGACATATAATTGCAATTCACTTGTTATTTTGATTAAACTTGTATATGAGTGAATTTTGTTACATGAACAAATGGCGCCCGTACGAATGACAGTAAGATAACATTTAAGATCGCGCATGGCATAAAGTATCTCTACATCTGTCAGTGATGAACATAAAACGGCTCCGGACCGTATTTACGTTCATTTGCTTTATTCTTTGTAAAGAATAGAGCAGATGAACTCATTGAATATTTATTTAATTACCTTAAATATTCTGTATTCAATGCTTGAATTAGTACTATTTTCTAAATCCATCACATGAATATACATAAATAACTCACTGCTTATTATTTATTTTTACATCTAAAACAATAAACTAATGATAAAAAAACACCAACAAAAGCACACAAAAACTAATGATATACACCTAAGTCTGTTTTTACACGGTAGATTGGTTCCAGAAAAAGCCGTGTAAAAAAAAAGGGGAAAAAAAGACATTGATCTTATACAAAAATGGGTGATTTGTTCCTAATCTCTAAAACCTATTAAAATTAGAATAATTTTCAAGAACAAGAATTCATGTTTATTTTTATAATAATTCCCCTAAATTAGTGCTATTCACATTTGCTTTGACCAGTAAAAATTGTTTGTACGCGCTAAATTCACTTAAATCTTTAATTCAAACCGTGTTATATCAAAACCGTGTACAAAAAGACCGTGTAAAAACAGACTAAATTGTACTGAAATTACTACTATTTCTTAACTTTCTACTAATTACTACCTATTATTGACTTACTACAATTACTATTTATTACTAAAAATATAACCCAATATAATGTGCAAAATATAAATGACTCACTTCTTATCAAAGTTTCATCGAAATTTTGCATCTAAAACAGCATACTAATGGTAGGAAAGCACCATTAAAAGAATACAACATATTCTAATAATGCTAATTCTAAAATCTGTATTAAATGCTTTAATTAGTACCATTGTTATTAACTGATAAATATTATTCAGCTCAAAATATAACATAATATGTAAAAACGCAAGATATAAATAACTCAATTCTTAATAAAATTTCAGCGAAAATTTGTGCATCTAATGTCTTGTTTCCATTGCACGAATCCGCCCGGCGAATCTGTTTGCAAAGTGCGCAGACAAAATTATTCTAAACAAAAGCAAACCACGCGCACGTTGCGAGCAAGATTCGCCGTGCGCGTTCGTCCAATGAGAACTCACCATAAAACAAAAGACTAATGATAAAAAACACAATTGAAATACAGAATCTAATGAATAAATTGTATTGAATGCTTTAATTGGTACTGTTGTTCAAATCCATTAGCCGCTGAATAGAATTTAGCACTCAAAACATTTAATATGCAAGATATAATAACTTACTTCTTATTGAAATTTTAGCGAAAATTTGTACATCTAAAACAACTGGCTAATGATAAAAAAGCACCATTGAAAGAACACAGAATTTAATGATACATTGCACAAATTATATTGAATGCTTTAATTAGTACTATTGTTCAAAGCGTACCTGATAAATATCTTTCAGCTCAAAATATAAGCTAATATATAAAATACACAAGATATAAATAACTCATTTCTTATTAAAATTTGCGAAAATTTTACTAATGACTCGTCTTGTATGCACAGACAAAAATATTGTAAACAAAAGCAAACCACGCGCACGTTGCGAGCAGGATTCGCCGTGCGCATTCGTCCAATGAGAACGCACCATAAAACAAATGACTAATGATAAAAATCAATTGAAAGAACACTTTGAACAAATTGTATTAAATGCTTTAATTAGTACTGTTTGAGTACAATTTAGTACTCAAAACATATAATATGCAAAATATAATAACTTACTTCTTGTTGAAATTTAAACGAAAATTTGTACGTCTGAAATAAATGACTAATCATAATAAAAGCACAATTGAAAGAACATAGAATCTAGTGATACTTTGCACAAATTATATTAAACGCTTTAATTAGTACTATTGTTCAAGACGTACTTGATAAATATCATTCAGCTCAATATATAAGCTAATATATATAATAAACAAGATATAAATAACTCACTTCTTATTAAAATTCCTGCAAAACTTTGTACGTCTAATGGCTCGTCTTAATTCCACGCATCCACGAATCCGTACAGCGAATCTGTTCGCAAAGTGCGCAGACAAAATTATTGTAAACAAAAGCAAACCACGCGCAACGTTGCAAACAAGATTCGCCGTGCGCGTTCGTCCAATGAGAACTCACCATAAAACAAAAGACTAATGATAAAAAACACAATTGAAATACAGAATCTAATGAATAAATTGTATTGAATGCTTTAATTGGTACTGTTGTTCAAATCCATTAGCTGCTGAATAGAATTTAGTACTCAAAACATTTAATATACAAGATATAATAACTTACTTCTTATTAAAATTTTAGCAAAAATTTGTACATCTAAAACAACTGGCTAATAATGAAAAAGCACCATTGAAAGAACACAAAATTTAATGATACTTTGCACAAATTATATTGAATGCTTTAATTAGTACTATTGTTCAAAGCGTATCTGATAAATATCTTTCAGCTCAAAATATAATCTAATATATAAAATACATAAGATATAAATAACTCACTTCTTATTAAAATTTGCGAAAATTTTACTAATGACTCGTCTTCTATGCACAGACAAAATTATTGTAAACAAAAGCAAACCACGCGCACGTTGCGAGCAAGATTCGCCGTGCGCGTTCGTCCAATGAGAACGCACCATAAAAAAATGACTAATGATAAAAAAACAATTGAAAAAAACAATTTGAACAAATTGTATTAAATGCTTTAATTAGTACTGTTGTTCATAACCATTAGCCGCTGATACAATTTAGTACTCAAAACATTTAATATGCAATATATAATAACTTATTTCTTATTAAAATTTCAGCGAAAATTTGTACGTCTAAAAGAACTGACTAATGATAAGAAAAGCACCATTGAAAAACACAATCTAATCATAGTTTGAACAAATTGTATTAAATGCTTTAATTAGTACTATGGTTCAAAACGTACCTGATAAATATCATTCAGCTCAAAATATAAGCTAATATATGTAGTACACAAGATATAAATAACTCACTTCTTATTAAAATTTGCGAAATTGTTTACATCCAATGACTCGTCTTCTATGACAAAATTATTGCAAACAAAAGCAAATCGCGCGCACGTTGCGAACAGGATTCACCAATGTTCGTCCAATGAGACCGCACCATAAAACAAATGACTAATAATGAAAAACACAATTGAAAGAACAGAGAATCTAATGAACAAATTGTATTAAATGCTTTAATTAGTACTGTTGTTCAAAACCATTAACTGCTTAATACAATTTAGTTCTCAAAATATATAATATGCAAGATATAATAACTTACTTCTTCTCGAAAATGTATATTTCTAAAACAACCGACTAATGATAAGAAAAGCACCATTGAGAGAACACAGAATCTAATGATACTTTAAACAAATTGTATTTTTAAATGCTTTAATTAGTACTGTTGTTCAAAATCATTAGCTGCCGAATACAATTTAGTACTCAAAATATATAATATGCAAGATATAACTTACTTTTGAATAAAATTTCAGCAAAATTTTGTACTACTAATACAACATACAAATGATCAAAAAAACATCAATGAAAACTGCTATGATAATTCTAAAGTTCATTTGTTTATACTTGATCATGCAACACTTCACAACGACTTCTATTACATATAAGTATTTGGAACTATCTATGTATTTATGCAACTATCTATGTATGTTTATTTATCTATGTATCTTTTACCACACCACGTTGGGTACGTGGGTAAAATATGCATAAATATGCTAAAATGACAGTTCTCAAAATCAGATTTTATGGCTTAGATGATTTATAAACTGGCGGAACTTCTTGTTCAATATTTATAATAAATGTAGAGACTTGAAAGATAATAAAATGAATAAATTTTGCATAGTTTTTATACTACAAACTGTTTTCATTATGATTGACACTATTCATTTCATAACCGGTATAAGGACATTTTTCGCCTTTGCCTTCAATGCTTTTATATGTTTTGCTCTACTTCCATATCCAACATGGCGCTTGTGAAAAATGTTTTATTTACTGGAGAGGCTCTATTTTCCATGTCTTAATCATTATAGTTCGTTATGTAGTATAACAATAATTCAATAATTTATTATAAGCAACTATTTTTAAGTAATTTATGAAAATGTCATCTGAAAGGTATTTAAACTTTATTTTATATATCCTTATTACAATCGATACCCGATAAAAATTGTCACCCCGTTTGGGCGTGACAATTTCATTTAAATTCATTATAATATGCTTTGGATTTATTTTTTTAGAATGGAGTGGGTTGAAATAATTGAACCAAGAACTAAGGAACATATGTACGCAAATCTGACAACGGGAGAATGTGTTTGGGATCCTCCAGAAGTAAGACAAAGTGCTACAAAATTATGATTTGCCCATGTACTTTCGAATTTTGTGAATATGTTTTCGATAGTGTGTCAAAGACTTTGGGTCTCCTTTTGTGCATTGTGATTTTATTTAAAAATTTGTGCTTTTATGAATATCATTTTGGAGAGAAAGTACTTATTCAAGTTTATACTAAATGTAATCAGGCAGAGTGAAAGTTATGCTACTAACAGTTGCAAATATTTAATATTGATACATTTTTATTATTCTGAAGACAGAATTTTAAAAATAGAGCTTTTCTCTATAATTTTATGTCAATGTGATTTTACATAGCAATTGTTTGATAGTTCAATAGAGAAGTGTCTGTCTGACTATCATTATACAAGATTTAGCTGTAATACTTGGTTATTTTTAGCTAATGAAACAAACTACAGATTTTCAAATAAAATATAGTATTTTAATCTCCCAAGAATGTTTATTTGTAAAAATTCAACTTCATTACAAACGATAAAATGAAATATAGAGTAAAAGCTTATTATATTTTTTAGGGTGTGAATGTGAAACGAACAGATAGTTCGCAGTGGTGGGAATTGTTTGATGTACATACTAGTCGATTTTATTATTACAATGCCGCTTCACAAAGCACCGTGTGGCATAGGCCTATGAATTGCGACATCATACCTCTTGCCAAGCTACAAACATTGAAACAAAATACTGATCCTTGTGAAAAACATGACAGCACAACACATAATTCAAAAGCCTTTTTACAGGTAGTATATCTAAAAATAATTAAAATTTTTATCATTATATATATATATATATATATATATATATATTTATATATGAACATATATTCATAGATTTCTCAACGGGATCAAAAATGTAGCACCAGTGCTATGAAGACTGATGCTACAACAACTCGTTCAAGCGTTGATTCGAATTGTGAAATGCTTACAAGTCCATCAGGCTACAACAGGTAATAATGTAAAATTTAATTAACTTATAAAAATACATCTTTTTGGAAAGAAATTATGAATTGCCTAAAAGATGAACAATGTTTATTACATGTGTTACACAAAAATTCATATGGTGTGGAATTCATGTAGTTATTATGATGTATTTTATCCATACTGAGGACAGTAGGTATAGAAGTTTTTTAAGAAAGGATCACAGAACATCAGGATTAGATTTGGTTATTAATGTTCTAGCTTCATGTTAAACCAATATCACTTTTATGATGAATTTAGAATTTAGAATTCTATATTTCAGTGACATTAGTATTAATTAATTCATATATTAGTCACATTAGTATAATAAATTATAAAAACTTAATATTGGAAAGGTTTTCTCAAAACAATTCATGTATAAATAATCTTTAATAAAACTTAAATTATTTAGAGATCGTGTCACACCTGATGGTACTCGTGCAAGTGGATCTGAAAAAAGTTCACATAGGTATTGCAAACATGGTCATTCACATGTTGGACATTCAGGTCACAAACATACAGATAGCGGCAGATCTAGTGATTCCAGTTTATCTAGTGCACATGGCTATAGGCGATTACAAGAGTCTAGCCACTTACGTGTTTCATCAGGGGCATCATCATCACAAAGACATCGTGGACAATCAGATACTGGGTAATATTTCTTTGTCATAAGAATTTATTTTGAAAAGTATTGAAATTCCAGTTAACAGTTATACATAAATATGTAATTATTTGATTTATTATACAATTAGAAAATTATTCATAAAAAAAATTAAGAAAACAAACTCAGTATCTAAGTTTTTTTTTTTATTATAAAATATATTCATTATTATGAAATATTTCATCAAAATTCTTTTTAGCTATAGAATGCTACAAGAAAGTTCAAGTTCAAATAATTTACCCGCATTTAAATATGAGCCTCTTATCCACAGTGGACCACCACATTCTGCAAGTACTCCACAACTCAAAAAGAAACATGCCAGTGGTAGCTATGTGCAAGGAATAAACCATAAGGAATCTTATAAAGACCAGTATAAAAATGCAAATATAGGTAATCCTATAATTTTAAATATAGTCAGCTAAAAAATAACTCAAATGTATTGTTTAAACAATCTCTAGATGTTTAATATTCTAGAGATACTACTATTATCCTTATTGAATATGAAAATCAATTGCATCTTATTAACAATTTACAGGTCCAAATCAAATGCCTTTGGCGCGATCTGGTAGTTTCATGTCTTCGAGAGTTGATAACAGTGATGATTCAATGCATGAGAAATATTTTAAATCTGTTGAAAATACTCCTGTAAGCCGTAGAAGAAGCACAAAAACTTCCAACCAGAGTTCTAGTGATTCTAGTCCACATAGTCCTGATCACAATAAAATTAATAGGTAATCTTCTTTTTCACACTATTTATGTATATATTATTGATACAGTACAACTCCAATTATCCGAACTCCGATTATCCGAATCACTTTCAGAAAAAAAATTGTCCAAAAAAGGTCTAAGTTACAGTTAAAACAGCTTACATTGACGGAGATGTTTAATAAACAATGATTTTTATTTCTAAACTTGTACATAAGTACATTTTATTTATATTTAAAACATGTAAAAATATCATGTTTCTTTTATTTAATTCAATAAAAAATAGTGCAATATCAAAACGTAACTTTTTTTCTCTCCAATGGCAATTTTTAAAAAAAACTCCGATTATCCGATATTTGATTATCCGAATGGGTCCCGGTCCCCATTAATTCGGATAATTGGAGTTCTACTGTACCAGATAACTATGTCACAACACTACCAGGGCCAGATTAAAAGTCTTTTCTTTTTTAATCCTACAGTTTAACTTGTTTATTTTCAGGACAGGTGTAGAATTACTATATAATATATAGATAGATAGATAGATAGATTCTTTATTCAAATTCAATATTTACAATTTAAGTCAATACAATTATTTATATATATATATATATATAAAACATTTATATATATATATATATATATATATATATATATATATTAAATGTTGAATATGAACAATACAACACTCAGATTTTTAAACACACCCTTTATTTAATAATTACAGACGATTTGAGACGGTGGTATGCCTCATCTTCAAAACAGAAAAAATTATATACTAATATATTATTTATTATTTGAAATTATTAAAATATTAAAAATGTATTAGTATATAAGTTTTACTGTTTTGAAATTACCCTGAAGATGAGGCATACCATGGTCTTGAAACGTCTGTAATATTTATTAAATAATGTGTGTGTTAAAATCTGAGTGTTGTATTGTTCATATTTAACATTTAATATTCGTTCCACTCATATCACAAAATTCTATTATATATATATACTAAAATTGTTTATTTTTGAATGAAAAAAACAGATATTGTTTGAATTTTTCAGGCATGTACCCCACATAGAAAATCAATTTGCAGCTAAAGGAGGAGAACATAAATGTAACCAGATAACAAAACCAAACCGTCCTAGTCTAGTCAGTTCTATATCCTTGCCACTGAATCTCTGTGCCAACCTGTCAAGTCGAATATTAATAGTATAGACCGACTCAATTATGGGATAGATAAATACAACATTAAATGTTCCAGTAATAAACATAATTCAGATGTTACCAGTAGGTACTTCCATGACAAAAACATTGATATTGAAAATGTTGAAAAACAATCGAAATATTTAGATAAATTTAACTTTGATGATAAAACTGGTGCTAAAACTTCATATTCTTTAGATAGAGATGCATCAAGTTCTGATGCTGATTATTTTAAATATTCTTCCAATTCACGTAACAAAACAAAGTCTGATGTAGAAACATTTAGTAAGATAAAGCATAACTCAGCTCCTGAAGGTTATAGACAGCAGAGTCAAAAAACTGCATCAGATAATTATTTGTCAAAAATTAGTTCAGGACCATATCTCAGTAAACCAAATTTAGAAAAGCACAACTTAGAATACTCAAAAAGTGATAAGAAAAATAAGGAAAAAAATACAATACAATCTAAACTTGAATTAGATGTTAAGGTAGATGGAAGTAAACAGAAATATACCATTGAGCATGATAATGGTAATAATACATCACCATTGTACTCCAATTGGGACTTAGAAATGCAAGAACACTTATTGCCTTTGCAACATTATATATTAGAGCAAGCTAAATTATCAGGTAAATAGGATCAATTATTTTTAACATACATTCAGTACTTAATAAAAGCTAACAGTTAATTTTTATTAACATTATCAAATGGTATTTATAATAACAACAAATATATCACAGGTTATTCATACAGTGCGGGTGATCCTTTAGATAGTGACTCCTTACATTCAGACAGTCAATCAGAAGAATCACTTAGTGGTCATGAACCCGATAATGAAGATTCAGATCATTCTGGCAGCAATGATGATTATTTAACACATCACTACAGTTCTGCACAAGGTAATGAATATTATTAATTTAATATGATAAAGTTATTAACTTGATTCATTTATATTTTTAGATTATGGTGCCCATAGTGTTGCATACTACAATACTACTCTGCAAATATCAGATTCCAAACATGACGATAATTCAAGCAAAAAAACCTATTTCCGAAAATAAATTGGAACCCGAGCTTACAAGGCTCTCAATAGATACAGATTCTTTGGATGCAGTAACTTTATCTCAAGAACAAGCACTATATAGTCCTGTTCAAGCGCTTTCGAAACCAACAGCTATTAATATTAGTTCATTACCAGTAAAAGAGTGCGATATAGAACAATTTGCTCATGACAATCTGAATTTACATGCAAAAGGCATATCAGGAAAAAGGTAAGCAGTTTTTTAGTAGGTGGCCTTATTTAAAAATTGGCTAGTTTTAGTAACATTGCTGCAACTGTATAATGTGAGAAAAGCTACAATCACAATCCTGTTAGATGTTGAGCATCCGTGGCACAGTCTTGTCGTAGTAGTCAATTCAAACATGTATCTCACCTTCGAAAGTTTATTTTGAGGGTCGTTTTGTCATGTTTTTGGGGACTTATATATTGTTATTTGTAATTATTTCTATTGAAGTCAACAATTTTATTGCATTTTGTTCACATTTGGGGAAAATGACAAAATACTATTTTGCAAGAACTACAGGCTACTTCTTTTCGGGGCTAAAAGGAAAGACAATTGAAACTAGTAAAGAGTGATTGAACTAACTTTTACTATAACTACTTTTAAGGACAGACCAAAAGATCCACCTATAATAAGAAGAGACTTGCATTTTTTTCAAAGACCTAGTTTCACATTCAGAGCTTTTTAATAGTTAGTTATGATGTGTATTTGTTCCCTTTGTAATCATGCTTCATGTGCTGATGTCTCAAAGAGAAACAAAAGCAATGAATGGTCTTCTTTAAATTTGCATCTCACTGTTTTTACCTTATTTGTCATTTTGTCATAATATATATATATATGTACAAAATGGTATTTGTAATTGGTTGCATTTTTCCTTATTATAGTTCATGCTTAATTAAAAGTCTATGTTACTGGTACTCAATAAAATTAAGATGAGTAAAAACGATTACAGTATCATTAAATAAATAAATAACATTAAAAAGCAAAATGC